AATTATGGCATTCTCATAAATTTCTCCACTCCCTCCTCCCACCCCAATTTTCTCTATTTTTAATATATTACATTAGTGTGGTACATGTTTTACAGCTCATAATTCAATAATGATATATTAATTAAAGTTATAGTTTACATTAGGGTTCACTCTTCTACTTTCTATGAGTTTTGATGTATGTTTCCACCTTTGTAGTATGCTACAGAAAAATCGTTTTACTGCCTTACTCCCCTTGGCGCCTTCTTCATCTTTCTCTTCACCCAAACCTTGGCAACCACTACCCTTTTTTAGTTTCCTTACTGTTTGGAGATTGTCACATGGTTGGAATTATACTTTGTTGCCTTTTCAAATGGGCTTCCTACTTATTCACTAGAGATTCCTATATGTCTTTTCCTGGCTTGGGAGCTCATTTCCTTTTATCACTGAATGATATTCCATTGTATGGTTATCTATTCACCTTTGAGAGGTCATATTGCTTGCTTCCAACTTTTGTGTGCAGGTTTTGTGGGGACATAGGTTTTTCAGCTCCTCTGGGTAAAAGTAAGGAGTGTGGATGCTGCATTCTTTTGATAAGGATATATTTTGTAAGAAACTCATATTTTTGTAAGTACTTTTGTAAGAAACCTCAAACTGTCTTCCAATATCTGTACCATTTTGCATTCCCATCAATAACGAATGAGAGTTCCTGTGGTTTCATATCCTCACCCACCATTTTATATTGCCATAGATCTTGTATACATCTTGTATAATTATTAAAAATTTTATTATTGGCGTGGGGGGAGAGAAATGCACGGGTTTTGGATTTTGATCACACTACTAGATACTTAATAGTTTTTCATCATTGTTTTCATTTGCAGTTCCTGAATGACAGATGCTGTGGAATCATTTCCATGTGATTATTTGCCCTCTGTATATCTTCTTCGCTGAGGCATTCATAACTTTGACCTACTTTTAAATTTTTTTTTGTTTTTGTTGGTGGTGGTAATGGTGGATACCAGTGCTTTATGTAATAGTTCTCTGTTTCACAAAGGTCTTACCCAATCTTTCATTCTCTTATCTTCTGCTGAGCAGAAAATTTTTACTTTAATGAAATCCAGCTAATCATTTCTTTTTCTTTTACGAGTTGCACTTTTGGAATTATGTTTTTAAAATCATGGCCAAACCCAAGGGCTTTATATTTTCCTCTATGTTGTCTTCTAGAAGTTTTATAGCTTTTTGTTTTACATTTAGATCTGCTGCCCACTTTGGATTCATTTTTATGATGCACATAAGATATGTGTAGTTGCTCAAGCATCATTTCTCCCAATAAACTGTCTGCTCTTTTACCAAAAATCAATTGACTGTATTTGCCTAAGTTTATTTCTGAGCTCTCCATTCTATTCCATTGCTCAGTTGTGTCTATTCTTTTGCAGATACCACATTTTTCTTGATTACTGTAGCAATAGAGTAAAAATCAAATTTAAGTAAGATTAGTCCTTTATGTCAGTCATTTAATATTTTGTTGGTTATTCTGGCTCTTTTGCCTTTTGCCATATAAATTATAGTACCAATCGTCAATATTCACAACATAACTGGATTTTTATCAAGATTACATTGAACCCATAGATCAAGTTACAGAGAACTCGCATCCTGACAATATTTAATTTTCCCATCTGTGTACATGGAATATCTGTATCTCCATTTATTTATGTCTTCGATTTCCATTTTACTTTTTCTCATAGATCTTGTATCATCTTGTATAATTATTAAAAATTTTAGTATTGGCGGGGGGTGGGGAGGGAAATGCACGGGATTATGGTGATGGCACACGGGTGACTTGGTGATGGGAAACCTGCGGGGCTTACAATTGAGATGGAAAAAAAATGTACAAAATGATGTAAAAATAAACTTTTGTAATAAAAAAAAATTAGTATTGGGCCCTCCCTTGTGGCACAATGTTTAAAGAGCCGCACTGAGAAGCTACCCACAGTCGCTTCAGCATGAGTTTGACCCCTGGCCAGGGAGCTGACCCACATGGCGCCGCAGACCTCTCCTGTCTCACCTGCTGCTCCCCTCAGCAGTGTACATTTTCTATTTGCCTGTTCTGCTCCCTGCTCTGTCTCTGGGGAATCCTCTCTGGCCTGTGTCCCAGTTCTGTATGCATAAATAAATAAATCCTGAAAAAAAAACTAGTACTGAAGAAAGTGACAGTATCTTTCCAATTTACAATCCCAATTGTCCTTTGTTGCTAAATAAGAAAGCAGTTGACTTTTGTATATTAACCTTGTATCCTACCACCTTGTTACTAGTTGCAGGATACTTCTGGTTGCTTCTTTGAGATTTTCTAAATAGACAATCATTTATTATTCACACACACAAAAATTTTTTTTTCTTCTTGCTTCCCAACCTATTTACTTCCCTTTTTTTTTTGATTTATGTATTTATGAATATAACAACTGGGGTACAGGCCCAAGGTACAGGGTGTGAGAGATTTCACCAGAGACAGAGTGGGGCACTGAGATACACTGCTGAGGGGGACAGGGGTGAGACAGGAGAGGTCTGCTGTGCCATGTGGGTCAGCTCCTTGGCCAGGGGTCAAACTCATGCTGCAGTGACTGGTGATAGTTTGATAACACTGAGACTTAACCCCTGTGCCACCAGGGAGAGCCACAATGTTATATTTCAATTTTATCTTAGTAAACCTGAAAACTTTTATTTCATAAATTGTAAATTGACTGTATTAACTCCATTCATCAACAGACAATGATTAAGTATTTACTCTGATAAGCAATGATAACATTTAGACAAGAGATAATCTAATAGACTAAGGTAGGAGACAAACAGTTGCAGGATTATGTGATAGGTATAGTCCTTCACTCAACATCTTCTTTAGTGCCTACTAGGCCCCAGATATCCAATAGGGAGCCAAACAATCATGGCGCCTGTTTCTAAAAAACAGAGGACACATAGGAAGGCACTGAGTAATTTACTGATTTATTATGTGATAAATGTCATGGTAGAGAAAGCAGAGGCTGCCAGGGGAACACAGAGAGGATCCATCTAAAGCTAATCAATCTGGCTTTTTCCCTCCTGACTGCCTGAGGTTCAACTGCCATCACCAAGGGTCTTGTAACTATCCGGACCCAAAACTTCATGACCAATCAGTAGGAACAAATGGTCGCTGATATCCTTCACTGTGGGAAGTCATCAGTCCCTACAACAAAATGTTCAAGACCACACCAGACGTGATGTGTATTTGTTTTCAGAACCCATTTTGGTTGCAGCGATTTGACTTTGGCATGATTTATAATTCCTTGGATTACACAAAGAAAAATGAAGCCAAATGTAGACTTGCAAGAGTTGGCCTGTCCAAGAACAGACCTCAAGAAAAAGGCAAAAGGAACACAAGCCCAGAAGGAAGAAGTCTGGGAGTCTACAAAGGCCAGCGTGGTGTTGGGGAAATGGGAGCTGGATTTTGGAGCACAGAAGGAGTAAGGACTCTGGGTAAATGTATCCGAGGTGGTTGTACAAGATTGTTTTTTACAAGAGGAGTAATCTGTATTTTTTTTAAAGATTTATTTACTTATGCATATAAGAACTGGGGTACAGGTTAGAGGCGTAGTGGGGAGAGAGGATTCACCAGAGACAGATGGGGAGCAGAACAGACAGATGGACTGAAATACACTGCTGAGGGGAGCAGTGGGCAACACAGGAGCCATCTGCTGTGACTTACAGGTCACCTCCCTGGCCAGGGATTGAACTTGCGCTTCAGTGGCTGCATAGAGCTTCCTAGTGCTGTGCTTTAACCCACTGCACCACCAGGGAGAGCCCTGTGTTTGAAGTAGGAAATCAGACTTTTCAAACTTTTACCTAAGTTTTAAAAAACAGGTAGAAATGACCTAAATAAAAGAGAGATGTACTAAAAAACAGCAATAGAAACAAAATATACAGCTTATTCAAAGTTGTTGATTATGCTACAGGGAAGGGAGCTACCTGTCGGAAAATGAGAACAAAGTCAACAATATAGGCAGAAGTCAGGACAAAGTGTCTTTCATGCTAAATTCCAAAACAAACTCCTAAATAACACTTTCCTTCCGCTTACTGTGTATTCTTACTATGTATCTTCAATCTCTGCTTTTTACTGTACAGACTCATTTAATCCTCCCAATTTATACACAAAGTAGAGACTATTACTATTCCTTTTCTTGCATAAGGGGAAACTGAGGTGCAATAAGTTTTCCCAAGTCACACAGCTCTATTTAAACTCATAGTCTGACTCCAGATAGCAAACCATTAATCACTCTGTCTCTATTTAATGTGTGATAATTTAAATATTTAAACATTTTTAAGTTACTTGAAAGGTTTAGACTCTGAACACTCTTTCTATTTATTCTTACTCCAGCGTTGTGCTATTTAAATTGTGCTTTTGCGTGTGTTTTCATGGGTAAAGGTCAAGTATGCCCTCATTATTTTTCTTCTTTCTTTGTAGTTACTACCTACTTATTCTGCAAGTGAATTTTCACAATAATTTTGTTTACCTAAAATTTGAGGTTACAGGATTTTTTTGTTTAAATGCGCATCAAATTTACAAATTAATGCAGAAAGTGGTGTTTCATACAGTTCAGTTTCATTTGTTCATGTAAGTCTTCTTTCAAGTTTATCAACACCTTTTTGCAATTTTCTTTAAATAGGTAATAGTTATAAGATTATTCATAAATGTGTTATCATTGTTGTGGAAGTTTCTCTTATGTTTTCTAATTCTTTATTATTGACATACAGCAATGCCATTTTACTTGTCTGGAAGATTACTTTTCCTGAAATGTAAAATTACCACTCAAAGACTATATAAAAACAGAAAAGGTATGTACTTTATCCATAACGTTCAAGGCATTCAAAGCGATTTGGGTTGATATGAAAAGCAATGAATCTATGGCACATTTATTCGTTGTTTGAGTTACAAAATGCATTTTCATCTCATTTTTTCCAATTAGGAGAGAGAACCAGACACGTTGGTTGTTGTAACAGAGCCTCCTCCCTCAAAATTACGTTGCTGTGCATGACCCATCCCGAGTCTCACAGTTCAAGCTAATCATTGACAGGGCTTTACAATCACAAGCTTTTACTGAAGCGTTGATAAGACAGTCAGGAGCAGTGAGTGGCAAATGAGGCTGAGCTGTGCGGCAGGATCTCCAGGGAATGAATGGATTTTCTTCAGCGCCGATGAAAGAAACATACCCTACAGGACAACAATGTGCAGCCGGCGACTGCAGAGATCTGTCATCTTGTCAGCATTTATCTTCCTACGATCTGTTATTGGATTCCCTGGAGACGGAAGAGCTGTATGGTCTAAAAATCCTAATTTCAGTCCGGTAAATGAAAGTCAGTTGTTTCTTTATGACACTTTTCCTAAAAACTTTTTCTGGGGTGTTGGGACTGGAGCATTTCAAGTGGAAGGGAACTGGAAGAAAGACGGAAAAGGGCCCTCTATCTGGGATCGTTTCATCCATACACACCTTGAAAATGTCGACAGCACAAATAGTTTTAGTGACAGTTACAATTTTCTGGAAAAAGACTTATCAGCGCTGGATTTTATTGGTGTCTCTTTTTATCAATTCTCAATTTCCTGGCCAAGGCTTTTTCCTGATGGAGAAGTAGCAGTTGTCAATGCAAAAGGTCTCCAGTACTACAATCGTCTTCTTGATGCTCTGGTACTTAGAAACATTGAGCCTGTCGTGACTTTATACCATTGGGATTTGCCTCTGACTCTACAAGAAAAATATGGGGGATGGAAAAATGAAACCATGATAGGCATCTTCAATGACTATGCTACATACTGCTTCCAGACCTTTGGAGACCGTGTCAAATACTGGATTACAATCCACAATCCATACCTAGTTGCTTGGCATGGGTATGGGACAGGTATGCATGCCCCTGGAGAGAAGGGAAATTTAGCAGCTGTCTACACTGTGGGACACAACCTGATCAAGGTACCGTACAGCTGGCTCCATGTCATAACTTCAGAAAATAAGGGCAGGAGTTAAACAGAAGCACTATGACATGCAGCTTCTGTTTAACTCATCTCTTAATTGGCATTATGACTATAATAATAAGCTAAATAATTTCACTAACTGATACACATTAAATATGGGAATTAAAACAAATGTATTTCACACTTGGTTTTATTTGTGTTGCATGGCAAAAATGAACAGTTCTAGAAGTTAAAATTAAATGAGTAATATAAAAACCGGAAAGAAATATGCTCTACCAAATGCTTTCAACAATGTATTTTAAAAGTGAGACTTTTGTTGGAAAGTGCTAAAACTATTGAAACAGTGGTGAAATGCAAGCAAAGTATTAGTCATTTTTATTGAGTAGTTACTATGTGCTAAGACTATATTAAGCATTTTGCATGCATTATCATAATTACTCTTTATGATGATCTTATGAACTAGGTCCTAATTTTGATCCCAATTTTAAAGGTGAGGAAGTTGAAGCTTGATGAGATTAAATAACTTACCCAAGGTTACAGAGTAAAATACAGCTGTTACGAACCTGGGAATTGTAAGTGGATATATATAAACACTTACTCTCTTTGTTAAGACAGTTTTTAGAAGAACAACTTTTTGGGAATTTTCAAGAGATTTGTCTCACATTGATGCTACTGTTTAGAGTGAGGTTTAACTTTTGAGTCAGAAGTGTACCTGGAAAAAAATTAATTACTCTAGATACCTGATAAATTTTAAAAAAGGAAGAAACTTTACTAATGGTGTTGTATAATGTACTTATGGAAATACTTTAATTTTTAATAAGAAACTGTTAAATATGTAGAAAAAGAAAAAATGCATAGGAACATGACTCCATGTCTGTATGTACATGTATAAAAATATCTTCTAATATAGTCTTCGTTTCGGACTTTCTGGATTATTATACATGTGCATTATATACTGTGGCTTCAGTCACACCTGCCCTTATGTAAACAAATTGTTGTATAATTGCAAGGGCAGTTGCTTATCTTTGAATATAACTGCAGAGAGAATACATTACGAATATGTATGTATTTGTGATTTGTCAAAATAAAACCTTAAAAGAGAGAAAACATAGCCATTAGCTTTGAAGATTGTGCATATACAAATTAGAAAAATACCCCATTTATTTAGTTCTTTTAGTTATTAATATAATACCTGCTCGTGTAAATTTGGAACCATCAGATTATACCAAAGGGCATAAAATGAAACAATTGAATTCCTCTCCACCTGACAATTCCAACCTCAAGAAAACTACTGTTGTTTTCTTCTTTGGTTTTCTATACAAATAGATGACATATATGTTCATTTTAATCTTTTTATAAAGAAAGCTATTCTAAATTGTTTAAATGCTTTGGTTATCTGAAAAATGTTAACAATCTGAATTTTCATGAAAAACATGTTTTGGTGGTTAAAGCCATAAACACAGCTATCTGATAAAAATAAACAGGAGAAAGTATTAAGCAGCAAATATATGTTGCTTCCAAAGTTAGCCCATAAAATACTATATTTTCATGTTTTTACTTTCCTCTAATTTGTGATAAACTCTTGCCTTTAACACAAAATCAGAACATTCTGTGAGATAGATTTTATTTTCTAAATTGAGGGACTACATTTTTTAAAGTTACTGTGTTTTCAAAATTCCTTCTAAAAAATATGTAAAGGATATTACTGGAACTGTGCAAAGAACTCCCTGTTCTTAGGAAACACACTCAACTATTACAAGTGAAGCATTGCATCTCCTGACATTCTATCAAATGACTAAAAGAGACCTGGGAATAAGGTCTCAGAGAAGAAACAATGATGATAAAGCAAAGGAGGGCAAATAAACAATAATAATGGTGATTTCTTCTATCTCTTTAAAATTTCTAAATCACTAACCTAAATAAGGAGTGGAAAGGGGCCTTTGAAATCAGTCAAAAAGTGAACGTGTTACATGACCCACTGACTTCTCGCACCAGAGAGAAATCTTGCAATGCTTTGGTAGCCTGACATGAACTCATTTTGTCTACTTCTCCCTCTGTCTTTTTTTAATATAGAAAGATTGATTTGATGTTTTGTGTTGCAAACAATTTCCTCTTTCTTGACCCAAAGAAGCAGTTTTTAGCATATGAGTACAACAAACATTTGAATTTTTAAAAGTCTAATAGGAATGATTATAAGTAAAATATTTTAAAAGACCAAAATGTCACTATAAAGCCATGGATATATGCTATACACCATTTTACTTCCCAGTCCTCAGCTATTGAAAAGATTTCATTATGACTCTTGGGTCATTTTAGTTTCAGGGAGATCTTGGAAACTCTGTTTGAAATACCCTGGTTTAGAGAAAAAGAATGAGCTAGCCACTCCTGACACAAACCTGGAATTTAGATTCCATTTTATTACAGACCTGGTGATTACCTAAAAGTGAGTCTAACTAAGCCTTAGGTGAAAATCACACCCCAATGGACACTCCACTCTGAGTTTATAACATTTCCCCAAGAAAACAGATGCATTTGACTTGACCATCTGTTCACATGGTGAACACAGCCTTAGCTGTTATCTATAATCTTTGCAACAGTATTGCCAAATAGCTACACCTCTCATTTCACTGTGATATTTGTAACTTGTACCATGTTGCCTGCCCCCATTCATTAGTGGCTCCCCAAAGCTTTGGGGGTAACATTCCCATTTTCCATCAGTACTGTCAAGACACTGGCCTTTATTCCAGCCTCCTTCGTGGCCAGCCCTCTGTGTTGTTCCCCAAATCCTATTACTACTAGCGGTGCCTCAGCTTTAACATAGCATTCCTCTTCTCTCAGTTCCTATTGGTGTTCCAGCCAGCCAGAATGCCCTTACTCCCTGCTTTAGCCATCTAATGTCCTCAAGACTCAGTTTAGGCAGTCACCACCTCTAAACTATTCTTGACCTTTTATGGCTAAGCGCTCCTCCTTGGTTTTCCAAAATTAGATGTGCTTGCTTCTAACATAACACTCAACTATATGGTATGTGAGTTACTTAAAAGCAAAGACTTCGTTTTGTCTTTTTGTGCCTAGTACCTAGCAGTTTGTTAGGTACATGTGAGGTGTGAATGTTTGCTGAGGAGGGGCTTAGGCTTTGTCATTAAAGGACCAATCTGTTCAAAATTCATATTTCATTGCACTATTGCTAATTCTACAAATGCTGCCTATATTAACTTAATGGTATGCTAGTCATAACTTTTTAGTTGCAAGTGGTAGAGACCTAATTTATTTATTATTTATGCCTACAGAACTGGGGTACAGGCCAGAGGTACAGGGGCAGTGAAAAGATTCACCAGAGACAGAGTGGGGAGCAGAACAGGCCGACTGACGAAGTACACAGCTGAGGGGAGCAGCGGCAGGTCAGGAGATGTCTTCTGTGCCATTGGATCACCTCAGGGGCAGGGATTGAACTCATGCTGAAGTGGCTTTAGCTTCTTAGTGCTGTGCTTTAACCTGCTGCGCCTCCAGGGAGGGCCTCTATTTTTTTTTTAAAAAAGGAGCAATTTCTTAGCTTAGTAACCAACTCAGATGGATGTACTCAGTAAACAAGAGACATTCAGGAGCTCTTTATAAGTTCTTTCATATCTATTTGTCCTTATGGGTTGGCGTCATCCTCTCCTTTGTAGAGGAAAGATTTTTCTCAACTCAATTTTTTCTCATCCCAGAGACATATTCCAGCCTGTTTGGTCTATCTCTTGGATCAGCAAAGCCTCAAGGCTACACATTAATAAAGGCAGCGAGGGTGCCTATTTTCACTCAATTTTTAAATCAATAAATATTCATAACAATTTAAATGTGTAGATTTTCCACCTTCTTAAAATGAAACATTTGAGAACCACTGAGTAAAAGTGGAAAGAGGTTGTAGAGATGAATTTGCTCATGAAATGGTAATTCATTCAGTTTATTCCTATACTAAATGTTTCCATATTAGTCTTGATTGTTTCATGTCTCTAAGTCATTATTTTTCATACAGGTACTGTCAACCCAGCACCACAATTCCTCAGCCTCAGTGCTACTGACATTTGGGGTCAGATCATTCTTTGTTAGGGGCTTACCTGTGCATTCTAGGATATTTAACAGCAAAGCTGGCCTCACCACACTAGATACCAGTGCCACCTCTGTGTTTGTGACAACCTAGGGTTGTGACAACCAAAATGTCTCCAGAACTAGCCAAAAGACTCCTGGGGAGGGGGGAGAAACGAAATTCCTCTCCCGTCTCTCCTTTGAGAGCCACTGATTTATATGTGCAATAGACAACCTGTGAAAAACAAAGTACATGGAACCAAGACTTTGAAATAAAACCAATATGATGGACATAAGAACAATAATAACTTTACAAAATGTCCCCAAGCACATTTCACTAAATTTATATTCTGCATATATAAATTCAAATTAATAGATAGAATATCAGAAAGCCTGGGGGGAAGAAACAATGCTTTAAAAATACTAAATGGGGCCCTCCCTGGAGGGGTTAAAGCACAGCACTATGAAGCTATCACCACCCACTGGTGAGTTTCCCAGACCAGAGAGGTGACCCACATGGCACAGCAGACCTCTCCTGACCCACTGGTTGCTCCCCTCAGCAGTATATTTCTGTCAATCTGCCTATTCTGTTCCCCTCTCTGTCTCTTATGAATCCTCTCATCCTGACCTCTGTCCTACATCCAGCTCATGTATGCATAAATAAATAAATCTTTAAAAGCTATACTAAATGGAGACATGATGTTGAAGACTGTCTAGCTTGGCCCGGAGCTAGTGGGAATAAAGACAGTCCCTATTTGTCTTTGTGTTATTTGCAACATACTTACTCAAAAGAGCTGCCCAAACCACTTCTCTTATAGTGACCTATGAACAAAACCTTCAACCTACCTCTTGAAACTTGCCTATTTTAAAAGTAAAATGCAAGCCTACAAATAACTTGTTATATAAATTATTTTTATCATTTTTTGTGTCTTAACA